GCACCGATGGGTGCCGATGGGCGACGATGGGTGCTGATGGGCGCTGATGGGCGCCAATGGGTGCCGATGGGTGCTCATGGGTCATGCTGGGTGCCCCCCGCCAAAGATCGTGGCCGAGTCGTCCTTCCTGACGCTGGACATGCTGGAGAGCTGCTTCCCCTACGTGCTGCTGCGCAACGCCTTCCGCCAGGTGTGCCGGGAGCCCCCCGGCCGGGCCCCCCCCGCACTGACCGGGACCCCCGGGACCCCCGGGACCCCCGGCCGGGCCCCCCCGCACTGACCGGGACCCCCCCAGACCCCGCCCGAGCAGTGCCAGGACCCCCCTGTTCCACCCCCGAGACCCCCGCCTGACCCCCGTTCCCCTCCCCAAATTCCTCAATCCACCTCACCCCCAGGACCCCCGACCCCAAATCCCCCTCCTGGTGCCCCCAGGACCCCCAAATCCCCCTCCCTGTGCCCCCAGGACCCCCAAGTCCTAAACTCTGTTCCCCCCCCAAATCCCCTCCCCAAATTCTCCAACCCGCCTCCCCCAGGACCCCGTGTCCCCTGACCCCCAAATCCCCTTCCCTGTCCCCTCCCCAAATGTCCCACCCCGCCCCTCCGTGACCCCCAAACTCCCCTCACCGCTGGCTGCCCCCACCGTGTCCCCAACTGTCCCCAAATGTCCCCCAGTGTCCCCTCGCTGCTGCTGCTGTCACTAAAATCCTCTTTTCACCCCAAATTCACCTCTCGGCCATTATTGGGGTCTGCAGGGGCCGCCCACCCTGGGACCCCTCCCTGGGGGCGTTCCGGGACCCTCCGGGGACTCTTGGGGTGTCCGAGGGGTTCCAGAGGGTCCGGGGGTGTCCGGGGGTGTCCGAGGGGTTCCAGAGGGTCCGGGGGTGTCCGGGGGTGTCCGGGGGGTTCCAGAGGGTCCGGGGGTGTCCGGGGGTGTCCGGGGGGGGTCAGGACGCGTCGCCCCCTCCCCCCCTGATTCCCATCGGGATTTTCCCCCCGTTTCGCTCCCGCTCCCTCCCGGCGGGGCCGTGCCTCAGTTTCCCTCCCGCCCGTTTCCAGTCCCGTTCCCGCTCTCCCCGAGCCCCCACCCCCGGTATTTTTTCGGTTTCCCTCCCGTGCGCAGCTCGGGGCAGCGTTCATGGGGCGGCCGCGGCCGTTGCCATTCCGCGCACGGCGGCTGCTCCGGGATGAGTCACCGGCAGCGGCGACAGCGCCCGCCGAGCCCCCCCCGCCCGCCCCGAGGACCCCCCCGTGTTACCGAGACCCCCCCCCCAAAAAAAAAAAACCCGGCTGAAAAAGCGCCCGGCAAAAACCGCGTTAAAACCAAAAAAAAAAAAACCAAAAACCAACCCCAAAAAACAAAAGAAAAAAACCCCCAAAAATGAAAATCAAATCCCCCTGAGCAGGGAGGGGGGGAACGACCCCGGAGCGACCCCAACCCCGCCAAAAAAACCCTAAAAACAAAAGGAAAAAAAACCCCAAAAATTCCAAATGAGCCCCCTCTGAGCAGGGAGGGGGGGAACGACCCCGGAGCGACCCCCCTGCCAAAAAAACCCTAAAAACAAAAGGAAAAAACCCCAAAATTCCAAATCATCCCCCCCTGAGCAGGGAGGAGGGGAACGAGCCCGTACCCAAAAAAAACCCCAAAAACAAAAGGAAAAAAACCAAAAATGAAAATCCAACCCCCCCTGAGCAGGGAGGGGGGGAGCGACCCCGGAGCGACCCCAACCCCGCCAAAAAAACCCTAAAAACAAAAGGAAAAAAAACCCCAAAAATTCCAAATCAGCCCCCCCGGAGCAGGGAGGAGGGGAACGACCCCGTACCCAAAAAAACCCCAAAAACAAAAGGAAAAACCCCCAAAATTCCAAATCAGCCCCCCCGAGCAGCGGGAGGCGCGGAACGACCCCGGAGCGACCCCCCCGCCCCCCCCCCCCGCGCTCCCGAGGGGCTCGGCCGCCCCCTCCCCGCTCCCGGCACGGATTTAATTCCATTTAATTCCATTTATTCCCATTTATTTCAGGCTCGTCAATCACGAGCCCGGAGCGTTCCCGAACCTCCCCCCCCCCCCCCCCTTTTCCCGCTTTTGTCTCGCGCGCGCCCACCCGGCCCCGCCCACGGACCCCCCCACCCCCCCCAGGGGGCCGCCCCCACCCCAAAACTCTGCCCCTCCCCCCGAAAGTTCCACAAAAGTGCGAATTTGGGGTTTCTATAAACCCCGAAATGCCACAGGGGAGCCCCAAAAACGAGGGGGAGGAACCCGAAAGGAGCAGCTCGAGGAGCACGGAAGCGATTTCGGGGCTCTAAGATTGGTTTGAGTGGCCCCAAAATGAGTTGGAGACCCCCCCCAAAAATGAGTTTGGGACCCCCGAAATCGGTTTGAGGATCCCCAGATCAGTTTGAGAACCCCAAAGTGAGTTTCGGACCTCAAAAATGAATTTGAGACCCCCGAAATCGGTTTGAGGATCCCCAAATCAATCTGAGAAGCCCCAAATGTGTTTGAGACCCCCAAAATCAGTTTGAGACCCCTAAAATCAGTTCAAGAAACCAAAAATCACTCTGAGGACCCTCGAGTTTGTTTGAAGACCCCCAAAATTGCTTTGAGACCCCTAAAATCTGTTCGAGCACCCCTAAGTCAGTTGGAGAAGCCCCAAATGGGTTTGAGACCCCGAAATGAGTTGGAGACCCCGAAAATCAGTTTGAGAAATCCAAAATCACTCTGAGGACCCCCAAAATCACTCTGAGGACCCCCAAAATCACTTTTAGGGCCCCAAAATGGGTGGGAGGACCCCCCAGGAGGGCCTGGAGGAGCCCAAATTTGGGGTTTCGGCCCTCAAGGTGTCCCCGGGGGGGTCCCGTGGCTGCAAATCCGGGGACCCCCCCTGGGAGGGGAGGGAGACCCCCCCTCAATTTTGGAATTTTGGGGGGGCTTAAACAGAGGGGACCCCCCCCCCCCCCCCAGAATCACCCGCCGGAGGTGACGGGGGGGGACCCTGGGGGTGGCGGGGGGGGCACCCAGGGGTGGGGGCGCACCCAGGGGTGGGGGGGGGGGGGCTCACCTGGCGCCCCCCCCCCCGCGGTGCCGAGGTGGGCGCTGCTCCCACCCACGGCGTTACATAAAGGCTGATTAATATTCCTGAATATCGCTCGGGGGCTGCGCTCCCGCCTGCCGGGGAGGCTGCGGGGGGGTCCCCGAACCCCAAACCCCAAACCCCCCCCGGGCCATCTCTGAGACCCCTCCCGGGTCAGCCCTGGGGTCCCCGCACCCCAAATCCCCCCTGGGCCAGCCCTGAGACCCCTCCCGGCTCAGCCCTGGGGTCCCTGCACCCCAAACCCCCCCTGGGCCATCTCTGGGACCCCCCTGGGCCAGCCCCGAGACCCCCCCTGGGTCATCCCTGAGGTCCCTGCACCTCAAATCCCCCCTGGCCCAACCCTGAGACCGCCCCGGGCCGGCCGAGACCCCCCCCAGTCAGTCCTGAGACCCCTCCCGGGTCATCCCTGAGACCCCCCCGGGTCATCCCTGAGGTCCCCGCACCCCAAACCCCCCTCGGGTTCATCCCTGAGACCCCCCCAGGCCAGCAGCGCCCCCGAGGGGCTCCAGGGGGGTCTGGGGGGGTCTCAGGGTGTGGATCAGGGGATGTGGGGGGGTCCCGCTCCAGGTGCCCCCCCCAGCCCAGGTGAGGGGGTTTGGGTAGGACTACAACAACTGGGGGGGGGGTGGGGGCTGCTGACCCCCCCGAGGGGAGGGGACAAAGGGGCCCTGCCGGGGTCGGGGATGGACGGGGCCGGGGGCACCGGGGGGGTCACGGGGGGCTCTGACCCCCCCCAAACCCCCCCACAACCCCCGGGGGTCCCGGGCCACCTCCCCCTCCCCCTTTGGCCCCGCGGATCCCGGGGGTCCTGACCCCCCCCTGGAGCTCCAGGAGGTTTTGGGGTCCCCCCGGTTGGGGCACAGCCCCGGGGGGGTCCCGGCTGCCCCCCGGGGGGTCCCGGGCCCCCTCCCTCCCCTCGGGGGGTCCCGGGGCAGCCCCCGCTCCCCCCCGCGTTCCCCTGGGGGTCCCGGCGCCGCGCGGGGCTGGGCGGACCCCCCGGTCCCGGCCCCCGCCCCCGGCTCCCCCCGCCCCGCCCCGCCCGCCGGTGCCGGTGCCGGTGCCGGTGCCGGCTCGGGGAAAGTTGCGGCGAGCCCCGGGCGGCGGAGGCAGCGCCGGTGGCCGCGGGGACCGGGGCTCGGCGACACCGGCGACACCGGCGGCACCGGCGGCACCGGCCGAGCATCCCCCGGTAGGAGCGCGCAGCATCCCCGGTGCCGGCGCTGCCCATCCCGGCGCTGCCATCCCCGCTCCTCCGCTCCCCTCCCGCTGCTTCTCCCCCGCTTCCCGCCGGTTCCCCCATTCCCGGTTCTCCATCCCCGGTTCTCCCCTCCCGGTTCTCCCTTCCCGGTTCTCCATCCCCGGTTCTCCCATCCCCGGTTCTCCATCCCCGGTTCTCCATCCCCGGTTCTCCATCCCCGATTCTCCATCCCCGGTTCTCGGTTCCCGGTTCTCCATCCCCGGTTCCCCCAGCCCCGTTCTCGGTTCCCGGCTCTCCCTCCCGGTTCTCCGTTCCCGGCCTCTCCTCCCGGCTCTCCCCGGTTCTCCCCTGCCGGTGCTCCCACCCCCGGTGCCCGGATCCATCTTGGCTCCGGTGCTGCCTGCGCAGCCGCCGGCTACCGGGGGGCGGGGGGAGGCCGGGGCGGGGGGGCGCCCGCCGGGGCTGCGGCCGCTACCGGGGCCCGCAGGAGCCGCCGGCAACCGGGGCCGGGGGAGCCGCCGGGGCCGCGGGGGCTCCGGGGGTGCGGGAGGGACCGGGAGCCGGGGCCGGGGGAGGCGCGGGGGGCTCCGGGAGGGACCGGGGGGGCTCCGGGAGGGACCGGGGGCTACTGGAGGGACCGGGAGGGACCGGGAAGGAGCCGCGGCTGCCGGAGGGAGCCGGGCCGGGCTGAGCCGCGCCGCCGGTGCCCAGGGGCGATGGAGCCGCCGCGGAGCCTCCCGGGGCTGGAGCGGGAGCGGCCGGCGCTGGACGCGGCCGGGGGGTGCCCGTCCCCGCTGGACGCCAGGGCCGTGCCCGGCAGGAAGGTCTGGGTCAAGCTGCGGGCGCTGTGAGTGACCCCCCGGCCGCGGGACCCCCGCCCCAAAGAGAGACCCCAAACCCGGAGAGAGACACCCCAGAGAGAGAGACCCCAAACCCAGAGAGAGACACCCCAAAGAGAGAGACCCCAAAGCCGGAGAGAGACACCCCAAAGAGAGAGACCCCAAACCCGGAGAGAGACACCCCAAAGAGAGACCCCAAACCCAGAGAGAGACACCCCAAAGAGAGAGACCCCAAACCCAGAGAGAGACACCCCAAAGAGAGAGACCCCAAAGCCAGAGAGAGACACCCCAAAGAGAGACCCCAAACCCGGAGAGAGACACCCCAGAGAGAGATCCCAAACCCGGAGAGAGACACCCCAAAGAGAGACCCCAAACCCAGAGAGAGACACCCCAAAGAGAGAGACCCCAAAGCCAGAGAGAGACACCCCAAAGAGAGACCCCAAACCCGGAGAGAGACACCCCAGAGAGAGACCCCAAACCCGGAGAGAGACACCCCCCAAACTGGGACCCCCAAACCCCAAACTGGGACCCCCAAACCCCAAACTGGGACCCCCAAACCCCAAACTTGGACCCCCAAACCGGGACCCTGAAACCGCAAACTAGAACCCCCAAACCGGGACCCCTTAAACTCCAAACTGGGACCCCCAAATCGGGACTTTTAGACCCTAAATTGGGACCCTTAAACCCCAAACTGGGGCCCCCAAACCAGGACCCCTCAGACCCAAACTGGGACCTTTAAACCCCAAACCGGGACCCCCAAACCTCAAACCGGGACCCCCAAACCTCCAAACCCCAAACCGGGACCCCCAAACCTCCAAACCCCAAACTGGGACCCCCAAACCCCAAACCGGGACCCCAAAGCCGGGACCCCCAAGCCGGGACCCCCGAACCGGGACCCCCAAGCCGGGACCCGTGCCCCATCCGAGGATCCCACCCCAACCAACCCCCGACCCCCCACTCTGGGGACCCCCTCCCCCTCTAAGACCCCCACCCCAAAAAAGGCCCCTGGGACCCTGGGCCGTCCCCAAGGACCCCTGGGGTGTCCCCTCCTTTGGGACCCCCTTGGGGACAGACTTGGGGGTCCCCTCCCCTCGTGTGGCGCTCTGGGGGTGTCACCGCGGGGTGACAGCGAGCCCGGGGTGTCCCCAAGCCTGCGGGGACAGCGCAGGTGCCGCAGGTGCCACCTCCGTGTCACCGATGGGGGGGGGTGCCGGGGGTGCCACCCCCTCACCTGTGCCAGGCGCTCACGTGCCCCGCGCCCACCTGCGGCACGTGCGGCGCCCGGGGGGGGGGGGTCCCCGTGGGGCGGGGGCGGCCCGGGGGGCACCACGTGCGTGGGGACACGCGTGGGGACACGTGTGGGACACGGGGAGGGCACAGGCGGGGCGGGGCACACGCGTGGGACACACCTGGGCCGTGTGTGACGCACCTGGGCGCCCCTGGGGACACGGGGGTGACACTGTGGGGGTGACACTGTGGGGGTGACACTGACACTGTGGGGGTGTCACACACGTGCGTGCAGGGGGGGTTGTGGCACTCCGGGGGTGTCACACGCGTGTCCCCACGTGTCGCTCCCACAGGTGGGTGACCGCGTGTCCCCAAAGTCGGGGCTGTCCCCTCCTGAGCCCCCCTTCCCAGGGGTGACAGTCCCGGGGTCCGTGAGGCCACCCTGTCACCCGTGGGGTGGCCCTGGGGACACGGGGGTCACCAGCAGGGGACACGGTGGTGGCAGGTGGCCCGGGGGTGGCACCCGGCAGGGTGGCACAGCCCGACCCTCGTCCCCTTGTCCCCACGAGTGACACGGGGGTCACCAAGGCGGGGGGCCCGGGGGGTGGCCGTCCCCAAGGGGGGGTCCCTGAGGGTCCCCATGGGGGTGGCCGCCATGCACGGGAAGGTGACAATCGCTGTCCCCAAGGTCACGGCAGCGCTGGTGACGTCTGTGCCCCCCCCGCTCCCCCCGGCCCCCCTCGCTGTCACTGTCACTGTCACCGTCACTGTCGCCGTGACCGGGGGACGTGGTGGCCCCTCCCCAGCGCGTGGCTCCGGTGACCGCGGCGGCCACAGCCGTGTCCTTGTGCTGGCACGGTGGCAGCACCCGTGTCCCCACGCTGTCACCACCCTGGGCCCCCCCCTGTGCCACCTGTGCCACCCCGTGCCACCTGAGCCACCCCGTGCCACCTGTGCCACCCCACGTCACAGTGCCACCGGTGCCACGGGGGTGGCACTCCCCAGACAGGACTCCCCCAATTCCCTGTCCCCTTCCTGTGACCCCCTCGTGTCCCCAACTGGGGGGCTGTCCCTGCTCTCCTTGGGGGTGTCAATGCCACCCTGGGAGTCTCTAACACGCTGTCCCCAACCTGGGGGCTGGCCCCTCTGTCCCCGGGTGTCCCTAACCTGCTGTCCCCTCCCTGGGCTATTGCAGGGTGTCCCTAACCCTCTGTACCCCCCTGTGCTGGGGTCCCATCTGTCCCCAGGTGTCCCTGACTCCCTGTCCCCCCCAGGGCTGTCCCCTGGTGTCCCTGTCCCCCACCGTGCTGGGGTCCCCACTGTCCCTTCCTGGGGCTGTCCCTGGGTGTCCCTAACCCTCTGTCCCCCCACTGCCAGGGGTCCCTGCTGTCCCCCCTGTCACCCCATTCTGGGGGTCCCTAACCCTGCCCCCCTCATTCCAGGGGTGCCCCCTGTCCCTGCTGTCCCCTGCTGTCCCTAACCCTGTGCCCCCGTTCCGGGGGTGCCCCCTGTCCCTGCTGTCCCCTGCTGTCCCTAACCCTGTCCCCCCATTCCAGGGGTGTCCCCCTGTCCCTGCTGTCCCCTGCTGTCCCTAACCCTGTGCCCCCGTTCCGGGGGTGCCCCCTGTGCCCCCCAGGCTCCGTTTCCTGGTCAAGCAGCTCGAGGCGGGCGAGGTCAGCGTGGAGGAGCTGAAGCGCAACTTGGAGTACGCGGCCTCCCTGCTCGAGGCCGTGTGCATCGACGAGACCAGGTGGGCAGGGGACACCCTGGGGACACCCTGGGGACACCCTGGGGACAGCCCGGGTGTGGGATTGATGGGGGTAGCACGGTCGGGATGGATGGAGATGAGAGATCTCTGCAGGCGGGTCGTGGAATTTGGGGTTTATTGCAAAGGGCCAAGTGCAGGGGCCTTTTGGGGTTTGGGGTTTATTGCAAAGGGACACGTGCAGGGCCCTTTTGGGGTTTGGGGTTTATTGCAAAGGGCCTGGGGGCAGGGGCCTTTTGGGGTTTGGGGTTTATTGCAAAGGGACAAGTGCAGGGGCCTTTTGGAACTTGGGGTTTATTGCAAAGGGCCTGGGGGCAGGGGCCTTTTGGGGTTTGGGGTTTTTTTGCAAAGGGCCTGGGGGCAGGGGCCTTTTGGGATTTGGGGTTTATTGCAAAGGGCCAAATGCAGGGCCCTGCTGGGATTTAGGGTTTATTGCAAAGGGCCAAGTGCAGGGGCCTTTTGGGGTTTGGGTTTTTTTTGCAAAGGGCCAAATGCTGGGCCCTGCTGGGAGCTGCCAGGCACAGCTCAGAGCAGGACTGAGAGGAGAGAGGGGTAGAGAGGATGAGAGGGTGAGAGAGCAAAAGGACAAGAGAGTAAAAGGGGTAAGAGCATAGAAAAGTAAGAGCCAAGAGACAAGAGATAAGAGACAAGAGATAAGAGACAAGAGATAAGAGAGCGGAGTTCCCGTTCCAATACAATAAATCATCTTCTGTGCTGAATATTCTGATTCTCACTCACCAATCTAGCACAACATACAAATCTTAGAGCATTTCCATCCGGCCTATAGGAACCACTACATTGCCATACTGTGCTACATTTCAAACCTTAAAAACTCCTCTTTAGACTTCTTCTATTACCATGCTGTGCTACATTTTAAACCTTAAAAACTCCTCTTTAGACTTCTTCTATTACCATACTGTGTTACATTTTAGACCCTAAAAACTCCTCTTTAGACTTCTTCTGCCGAGCTGGCAGAGTTTGCTCGGACTCTCAGACCTGCCTGCTAGCAGAGAGTCTTGTTTCACCCAAAAACGATCACTTTCAGCCAGCCACGCCATTGTTCCCGTTGTTCAGTAACGGAGGGATCTCCAAGCTTGCTTCCATTTCAATCTCACGGTTCCCATGTTCTCAGAACCTTTTGCCAGGCACTTTGCAAAGCTTCCTTGCCTTGTTGGATCTCCCCCGACACCCGGGGACAGCCGGGGGACGCCGGGGGCCGTGCCGGGGCGGGGACGCAGCGCTGAGTGCCGCCGTGCCCCCAGGCAGGTGCTGGACACGGAGGACGAGCTGCGGGACATGGGCTCGGACGCGGCCGTGCCCTCCGAGGTGCGGGACTGGCTCGCAGCCACCTTCACGCAGCAGGCGCGGGCCAAGGGCCGCCGGGCCGAGGAGAAACCCAAATTCCGCAGCATCGTGCACGCCGTGCAGGCCGGCATCTTCGTGGAGAGGTGACAAAAAGGGGACACGGGACGGGGACACGGCGAGGGGGGCGAGGGGGACACAGTGAGCGGGGCACAGGGGGGACAGAGACACGGGGACACCTCAAGGGGGACACAATGGGGACAGGGAGGGCACAGGGGGGACAGGGACACCCCCAGGAGGGCACAGGGGGGACAGGGACACGGCGAGGGGGGCATGGGTGGGATAGGAACACAGCAAGCAGGGCATGGGGGGACACACTGAGCAAGGCACAGAAGGGACATGGACACCCCAAGGATGGCACAGGGGTGACAGGGACACCCCAAGGATGGCACAGGGAGGACAGGGACACTCTGAGGAGGGCACAGGGGACACAGGGACACCCCAAGGATGGCACAGGGGACACGGACACACCGAGGATGGCACGGAGGGGGACACAGTGGGGACAGAGCTCGGGGGAGGATGTGACACTGTGGGAGGTGAGCTGAGAGCAGGGGGGTCCCCAAAAACCCAGGGACTGTCCCCAGCATCAGGTGGGTCCCCAAAACCCAAGAGGGTCCCTAGAACCGAGGTGGGTCCCCAGGGGAGCCCAGAGGGGTCCCCAGGTGTGTTCCCAGGTGTGTCCCCAGGGCCAGGTGTGTCCCCAGGGCTGTCCCCAGGGCTGTCCCCAGGGCTGTCCCCAGCCCCAGGTGTGTCCCCAGGGCTGTCCCCAGCCCTGGGGGTCCCCAGCCCCCCCAGCCCCCCCAGCCCCCCCAGCCCTGCCTCCCCCCAGGATGTTCCGCCGGACGTACACGGCCGTGGGGCCCAGCTACTCCTCCTCCGTCCTCAACTGCCTGAAGGTACCAAAAAAACCCCCAAAAAACTCCAAAACCAAGGGAGGGGGCTGCTGGGAGCCACTGGGAATGGCTGGGAATAACTGGGAATCAATGGGAATAACTGGGAATCAATGGGAATCAATGGGAATCACTGGGAATTTGGGAATCAATGGGAATATCTGGGAATCACTGGGAATCTTTGGGAATCAATGGGAACCACCGGAAAATCAGTGGGAACAGCTAGGAATAAATGGGAATAACTGGGAATAAACGGGAATCCTCGCCTTCACTGGGGTTTTACTGGGCTCTACTGGGATTTCCTGGGCACGCCTGGAATTCCCGTCCGTCCCTGGCATTCCCGGGCCCCCCCCATGTCCCCGGTGTCCCCAGTGGTGTCCCCGGTGTCCCCGCAGGGGCTGGACCAGTGGTGCTTTGACGTGTTCTCGCTGCACCGTGCGGCCGAGGAGCACTCGCTGCGCACGGTGGTGTTCGAGCTCTTCACCCGCCACAACCTCAACAGCCGCTTCAAGGTGGGAACGGAGCCCCAAAATACCCCAAAATACCCCAAAATACCCCAAAATACCCCAAAATACCCCAAAATACCGTCCACAACCTCAACAGCCGCTTCAAGGTGGGAACGGAACCCCAAAATACCCCAAAATACCCCAAAATAACCCCCACAACCTCAACAGCCGCTTCAAGGTGGGAACGGAACCCCAAAATACCCCAAAAATCCCCCCCTAAAATACCGCCCACAACCTCAACAGCCGCTTCAAGCTGTGACCCAACATCCAAAATCCTCCAAAACATCCCCAAAAAAAACCCCAAAAAACCCCAACAACCCCAAAACCCTCCCCAGGAGCCCCAGACTCCAACCCAGGACTCCCTCAGGACCCTCTCAAACTCCACCCCAGGACCCCTGAGCTGCCCCTCAGGGCCTGTCCCCTCCCGTCACCCCGATGTCCCCTCTGGCAGATCCCAGGCGCATTCCTGACGTCGCTGCTGGAGGCGCTGGAGGGCGGCTACGGAAAGTTCCGGAACCCCTACCACAACCAGGTGCACGCGGCCGACGTCACCCAGACCGTGCACTGCTTCCTGCTGCGCACCGGCATGCTGGTACGGGGACACGGGGACACGGGGACACACACGGGGCTGTCCCCACCACCTGGCAGTGCTCGTTGCCATGGGAACGTCCCCAGGGTGGCACCGGGGGACACGCATGGGTGGCACCTGGAATGTGACTGTGCACGGTTGTCACACGCGGGGTGGCACCTGGCACATGTATGTGCCCACTGTCCCTACACAACTGTCACATGTGGGGTGGCACCTGGTGCATGTGCTGCCCGTTGTCCCCACGCGGCTGTCACAGCACACTCATGGTGGGGGTGGCCCTGTCCCTGATTCGCGGTCTCTGTCCCATCCCTGTCCCTGTCCCATCCCTGTTCCCATTCCTGTCCCTGTCCCTGTCCCCATCCCTGTCCCCGTCCCTGTCCCCAGCACTGCCTGTCCGAGATCGAGCTCCTGGCCATCGTCTTCGCTGCTGCCATCCACGACTTCGAGCACACGGGGACAACGAACAGCTTCCACATCCAGACCAAGTGAGGGCACAGGGACAGGGCACGGCATGGCACGGGTGGCACAGCATGGCATGGGTGGCACAGCATGGCACACGGATAGAGCATGGCACAGGAACATGGCATGGCATAGGGACACAGCGTGGAATGGGGGACACGGCATGGCACGGGTGGCATGACATGGCACAGGGGACACAGCACGGCACAGGGACACGGCATGGCATGGGTGGCATGACATGGCACAGGGGACACAGCATGGCACAGGGACACGGCATGGCATGGGTGGCATGACATGGCACAGGGGACACAGCATGGCACAGGGACACGGCATGGCATGGGGCACACAGCACAGGTGGCACAGCAGATGCGGCACAGCATGGCACAGCACGGGTGGCACAGCATGGCTTGGGTGGCACAGCACGGTGTGGGTGGCACGGCATGTCCCAGGCACTGCTGCAGACCCACCTTGGGGACACCTGGGGAACGCTCAGGGCCACCAACACAGCTGGGACACAGCCTTGCTGCCACCCAGGGCCACCCCTCGCTGTGGGGGCCCTGTCCCCATGCCCAGTGTCCCCATGGTGTCCCCATGGTGTCCCCAGGTCGGACACCGCCATCCTGTACAACGACCGCTCGGTGCTGGAGAACCACCACATCAGCGCCGTGTTCCGCCTGATGCAGGACGAGGAGCTCAACATCTTTGTCAACCTCACCAAGGACGAGTTCGCGTAAGGTCCCCTTGCTGTCCCCTCGCTGTCCCCACCCTGTCCCCGTGCTGTCCCCTGACCGTGTCCCCTCTGTCCCCGCAGCGAGCTGCGGGCGCTGGTCATCGAGATGGTCCTGGCCACCGACATGTCCTGCCACTTCCAGCAGGTCAAGTCCATGAAGACGGCGCTGCAGCAGCTGGAGAGGTGGGTGGGGGCGGTGGCCAGCCCCCAGACGTGTCCCCAGGGGTGGTGGGGTGGCTTTGGGGACAATCTGGGCTGTTGTCCCCAGGCTGGACAAGTCCAAGGTGCTGTCGCTGCTGCTGCACGCGGCCGACATCAGCCACCCCACCAAGCAGTGGGCGGTGCACAGCCGCTGGACCAAGGCCCTCATGGAGGAGTTCTTCCGGCAGGTAGGGCCGGGGCCGGGCGGGGGGACGCGGGGGACACCCCGTGGGGACACCACAGATGTCCCTTGCCTTGCCAGGGGGACAAGGAGGCTGAGCTGGGGCTGCCCTTCTCGCCCCTCTGCGACCGCACCTCCACGCTGGTGGCCCAGTCGCAGATCGGTGAGTCCGGGCGAGGTCCCGTCCCCGTGCTGTCCCCTCGCTGTCCCCACGCCATCCCCACGCTGTCCCCGGTGTGTCCCCAGCAGCGCCGTGTCCCCTCCTGTCCCCAGGGTTCATCGACTTCATTGTGGAGCCAACGTTCTCGGTGCTCACCGACGTGGCCGAGAAGTTGGTGACGCCGCTGGCCGAGGACGGCTCCAAGGCCAAGGGCAACCCTGCGGCCACCCAGCAGCCCAGGTGGGTGTCCCTGTCCCCGAGGTTTGTGCCCTGTGGTGGCAGCGGTGGCCCTGGCCTGCTGCCAGCTGTCCCCATTGTCCCCCAGCTCGCAGTGGCGGCAGCCGTCCCTGGATGAGCACCTGGAGGACATCAAAGCCGACCTGGCCGGGTTCCGCTCCACCTGGACCAAGCACATCCAGGAGAACAAGCAGAAGTGGAAGGAGAGGGCGGCCAGCGGTAGGGAATGGCCACCGCGGCCATTATGGGCCACCATGGCCAGTACGGCCACCATGTCCACCATGACCACCAATGGCCACCATGACCACCAATGGTCACCATGACCACCAATGGCCACCGTGGCCACCACAGCCATTATGCACCACCACGGCCACCATGGCCATTATGGGCCACCATGGCCAACACATCCACCACGGCCACCATGGCCACCAATGGCCACCACAGCTACCGTGGCCACCACGGCCAACGTGGTCACCACAGCCAGTATGGCCACCAAGGCCCCTATGGCCACCACGGTCACTACAGCCACTATGACCACCAGTGGCCAGCATGGCCACCGGGGAGGGGTTGGGGACCACCACGAACTGCTCAGGGCCAGTTCTGTCCCAGTGTCCCCAGACTGGGAGGTGACACAGGCACGGTGTGGGTGGCACAACCTGGGCTGTCCAGGGGGGTGGCCCTGGTGGGGACAGAAGTTCCGGGGTGTCCCCGGTGACCCTGCCCGTGTCCCCCCAGGCATCACCAACCAGGCGTCCATCGATGAGCTGTCCCCGTGCGAGGAGCCCGCGGCCACCGGGACCCACAGCGAGAACGGGGACGTGGAATAGCGGGGGGAGGAGCCAGGTGGGGACACCGGGAAAGGGGCGGGGACACCGGGAAAGAGGGCGGGGACACTGGGAGAAGGGGCGGGGACACCGGGAGATGGGGCGGGGAAACTGGGAAAGGGGCGGGGACAGCGGGAGAAGGGGCGGGGACAGCGGGAGAAGCGAGGTGGGGACAGCGGGAGTTGGGGACACTGGGAGTTGGGGACATGGCGGTGACTGTCCCCTCCCGGCAGGTCCCTGTCCAGCAGAGTGACACCGTCTCGTCTTCGATGCCATCGAGTTCAGAACCATCTGTGCCAGGAGCCCCTGGGGCCGGGCTTGGGTCGGTGTCACCGCTGTGCCAGGCCCGGTGTCACCACTGTGCCAGGATTGGTGTCACCTCTGTGCCAGGCCCGGTGTCACCACCATGCCAGGATTGGTGTCACCTCTGTGCCAGGCCCGGTGTCACCGCTGTGCCAGGAGCCCCCCGGGCTGTCCCCTCTGTCCCGGTGTCACTGGTCCCTCACTGCCACCCCCGGCCCCCCACCGGGCTCCGTCCTTTGGGATTTTTAAAAACGCTTTTCCTGCTCGGGAGGGGCTGGGGTGGGGACGGTGGCACTGGGGACAGCCGGGGGGGGGACACGCTGTCACCATCAGGGCCACCACGCTCCCCTTGGTGTGGTGGTGACACCGTGAGGGTGGCACTGTGCCCTGTCCCCATCCCACCCAGGGACAGAGACAGGGACAGGGACAGGGACAAGAGAGGGGACAGGGATGGGGACAAGGCCAGGGATGGGGACAGGGACAGGCACAGGGACAGGGAGGTCCCATCTGGCGCGGCGTGGGTGGCAGTGGGGACAGGGAGTGGCGGGGACAGGGATGGGTCCCACTCTGATGTCCCCTGGCTCCAGCGCGTCCCTGGAATGTCCCCGGTTCCTGCGACATCCCGGGAGTGCTCGGGAATGCTGGGAATCTGTGGGAATGTTCCAGAATGTTCCGGAACGCTCCCACATCCTGGTCCAGCCGCCCCCTCCAGCTCCAGTGAGCCCCGGGAACCCTGGAATGTTTGGGGAATCCATGGATCCAACCTCGGATCCGGGAATATTCCAGAATCCTGGATCTAGGCTTGGATCTTCCAGCATCCTGGATTTGGCCTTGGGAATGTCCCAGGATCCCGAATCCAGGCTCGGGAATATTCCAGGATCCCAAACTGAGCTTCAGGAATGTTCCAGGATCCCAGATCCAGCCCTGGGAATGCTCCAGGATCCCAAATCCGGCCTTGGGATCTTCCAGGATCCAGCCCCAGGAATGTTCCAGAATTGTGGATCCAGCCTCGGGAATGTCCCAGGATCCCGAACTGAGCTTGAGGAATGTTCCAGAATCCTGGATCCGGCCCCGGGAATGCTCCAGGATCCCAGATTCGGGAACGCTCCAGAATCTGGGATCTGGGAACGTTCCAGGATCCCGGGTGCACCCTCGGGAATGTTCGGGACCGTCCCGGGAATGCTCAGGAATGTTCGGGAACGCCCGGCCCCCCCCCGCCCCCCCCCCCCCCGTGTTTGTATTTTTGTACCCCGTGTCCCCCCCCCCCGTGTCCCCTCCGTGTCCCCTCCGTGTCCCCCCCTCGGTCACCGCTGGCAGAGCTCCCCCCACCCCCCCCCCGCATGTGGTGTCTCCCCCCCGCGCCGCCGCTAACGAGCAATTAATTATTAATTAACGAGTTAATTAATAAACGCCGCCGCCACCACGGCCATGCTCCGGCCATTGGGGGGGGGGGGGGGGCGGAATTTGGGGAGGGGGCAGAACCCGGGGAGAGGGGGGTGGCCCCAAGGGGGGTCCTGGAGCCCCCCCAGTATCCAAAAAGGGGGTCCTGACCCCCCCAGTACCCAAAAGGGGGGTCCCGACCCCCCCCAAGCGCCCAAACTGGGTCTGGGGTCCCCCCTAACACATATGGGGGGTGGGGCCTGGAGCCCCCTCAGCCCCCAAAAGGGAGCCCTGACCCCCCCCAGTACACAAAAAGGGGATCCTGAGCCCCCCCCAGGCACCCAAGAGGGGGGTCCCGACCCCTACCCCAGAACCCAAAGGGGTTTTTGACCCCCCCCAGCCCCCAAATTGGTTTGGACCCCCCCCCCACCCAAAAGGGGATCCCACCCCCCCCTCCTCCCCCCCCCCGCCCCCGGCGCGGCCCAAGCAGGAGGCGGGGGGGGAAAGGATCCCTTTAATTCCGGCTGGGGGGGGGTGTCCCTGTCCCCCTCCCCCCGTGTCCGTGTGCACGCGAGTGTCCCTGTCCCCCCCTCCCCGGGTCCCCTCCCCGTGTCCAGGTGTCCCCCCCAGGTGCGCACAGGTGGGGGGGGGGGGCCCAGGGGACACCCCGAGGGTGGCAGTGATTGGGGGGGGGGGTCTGGTCAGTGTCCCCAGTGTCACCGGGGGGGGCGGGTTGGGTGGCATTTGTCACCCGCCCTGGGGACCCGGGGGGTGGCAGTGGGGGTGGGGGCACACAGGGTGTCACTCAGCGTCCCCGGTGTCACCCAAGGGTGGCGGTGGGGGTGGGGGGGGGTGTGTGGCACGTGTCACCTGCCCTGAGGTCCCCAGGGGGAGGGGACAGTCCTGGCGTTGTCACCAGACCCCCCCCCCCCCCGCCCTGGCCAAGTGGGGACCTGCCCGTGGGAATAAAATAAATTAAAATAAAATAAAATAAATAAAAAAATCCCAAAGAATTCTGGGCAGCCCCAAAATCTTAGAAAACGGAATAAAAAAATCTGCGCTGGCGTCCGCGGCGGCCACACCTGGGGACAAGGGACAGGGACAGCGCTGGGGACCAGGGGAGGGGACAGCCCTGACACTGTCCCTATGCCAGCAGGGCCACCCTGACCCTGGCACTGTCCCCGTGACATCCCCGTGACACCCCAGGGACACCCCAGTGACATGCCAGGCCTCCCAGGGACACCCCAGGGACACCCCAGGGACACCCCAGTGACATCCCGGTGTCCCAGTGCACCCCAGGGACACCCCAGGGATACCCCAGTGACATCCCAGTGACATCCCAGTGACACCCCAGGGACACCCCAGGGACATCCTAGTGACATGCCAGGCCTCCCAGTGACACCCCAGTGTCCCAGTGCCCCTCCAATGTCCCAGCCTCGTGTCCCACTGCCCCAGTCTGGTGTCCCAGTGCCACCCTTGTGTCCCAGTTCAATGTCCCAGTGCCATCCTAGTGCCACAGTGCCGTGTTCCAGTGCCCCTACACTGCCCCAGCCCAGTGTCCCCAATGTCCCCAATCCCTCCAATGCCCCCCCAGTACCCCCAGTGTCCCCAATGTCCCCAATGCCTCCAGCACCCCCAGTACCCCCAGTGTCCCCAATGTCCCCAATCCCTCCAATGCCCCCAGTGTCCCCAGCACCCCCAGTACTTAAAGTACCCCCAATGCCCCCAGTGTCCCCAATGTCCCCAGTGTCCTCAATACCCCCAGCACCCCCACTGTCCCCAGTGTCCCCAGTGTCCCCACCAGGCCGTACCTAGTGGCCGCTGCCCGCGCTGTCCCCAGGCTCTATATGGGTCCCGTCCTCAGCCCGGCTGCGCCGCACGGCCCCGGGGGTCCCGGCCCGGGGGGTCCCGGCCTGGGGTGTCCCGGCCCGGGGTGTCCCCGCCTGGGGTGTCCCGGCCTGGGGTGTCCCATCCCCGGGGGTCCCTGTGGGTGTCACAGCACAGGGGTGACCTCGGAGCCCCCCCGGTGCCCCCGGCGCCCCCCAGCGCCCCCCACTCACGGTGGCCGCCCGGGGCCGGGCCGGAGCCGCCGGGGCTGTGCCGGTGCTCGGGGTCGGGGTCGCCGCGGTGGCAGCGGGCGGTGGCCGCCACCTCCTCGTCGTCGTCGCCGCCCTGCGCCTGCTTGCACAGGTGATGCTCCACCATCATCTGCAGCTCTGCCGGGCAGGGAGCGGCGCTGGGGGGGCGCGGGGGGGCCCTGGTGACCGTCCCCACCCTCCCGGCGACACCGCCCGGGTGGCCTCGTGGTGGTGGCGGGGAGCGAGGCCAGTGCGGGGAGGGGACACCGGGGAGGGGACACCCAGACACCCGTGCCCCGCGGTGCCGGGGGCGCTGCCACCCCCCTGTGCTCCCGTGTGTCCCCCCGTATCCCCCTCATGTCCCATCATGTCCCCCATGTCCCCCTGTATCCCCTCGTGTCCCATCATGTCCCCCATGTCCCCCTGTATCCCCTCGTGTCCCCCCTATGTCCCCCTCATGTCCCCACCCGTGTCCCCCATGTCCCCCCCGTGCCACTCTCATGTCCCCCCGGTGTCCCCGTGACCCCCCCCCCCCGTGTCCCCCCATGTCCCCTCATGTCCCCCAGTGTCCCCCAGTGTCCCCAGTGTCCCCCCTGTACCTTTCATGGTGGGGGTGCTGCGGGACACCTTCTTCCTCTGCCGGGGGGACATGGCCAGGCCGGACTGGGTGGGGGGGACATGAGCGTGGCTCAGGGGGGCTCTCCCAGCTTTGGGGGGGTCCCCCGGGGGTCCCCACAGCCCCCCCGGGCGGTGTCACCTACCTTCAGCAGGGGGTTGGGCAGCCGGTCCTCATCGATCTCTGGGGGGGACAGGAGGTCAATGAGGGGTGGGGGCGCCCATCCTGCACCCCCCGAGGTCAGTGAGGGATGGGGGGGCCCATCCTGCACCCCCCGAGGTCAATGAGGGATGGGGGGGCCCATCCTGCACCCCCTGAGGTCAATGGGGGCTGGGGGCGCCCATCCTGCACCCCCCGAGGTCAATGAGGGCTGGGGGGGCCCATCCTGCACCCCCCGAGGTCAATGAGGGGTGGGGGAGCCCATCCTGCACCCCCCGAGGTCAGCGAGGGCTGGGAGGGCCCATCCTGCACCCCCTGAGGTCAATGAGGGGTGGGGGCGCCCATCCTGCACCCCCCCAGGTCCATCCAGCCCCACTGGGGGGGTCTCTGTCCCCTGGGGGTCTCATGGGGACAGCGCCACCACCCCCAGCCCCAGCCCCCCCCCATTGTCACAGGGATTGGGGTCCCACCCCCCCCATGTGTGGGGGTCCTGACAGCGGGGAGGGGGGTCCTGGAATGTGGGGGGGGTCCCTGAGCATCATGTGGGGGTCACTGAGCATTTTCGGGGGGTCCCTGAGGACATGGAGGAGTCCCTGAGTCATTTAGGGGCTCCTTGAGTGTCATTAGGGGGTCCCTGAGCACACTGGGGCTTGTCCTGAGCAAATTTGGGGTCTCTGAGCACCTTGGGGGGTCCCTGAGCACTCTGGGGGGGTCCCTGGGCGGGCTGGGGCTGGGGGGGACGCGGGGACACCGCTGGCACCCACCTGGGGACGATTGGTCACTGCTCAGGACCAGGTTGGCCGGGGTGGGGCGGCGCCTCCGGATCTGGGGGGACAAAAGAGAAAAGTGGGAGCCCAGACAGGGAACTGGGACCCTGGACAGGGAATTGGGACACCCAGACAGGAACTGGGACCCCCAGACACAGAACTGGGACCCCAGACAGGAACTGGGACCCTGGACAGGGAATTGGGACCCCCGGACAGGGAATTGGGATCTCTGAACAGGGAACTGGGACCCTCAGACAGGAGCTGGGACCCCAGACAGGAATTGGGACCCCTGGACAGGGAACTGGGACCCCAGACAGGAACTGGGACCCCCGGACAGGGAATTGGGACCCTCAGACACAGAACTGGGACCCCTGGCCGTGCCCCACTGGCCCTGTGCCCGCCGTGTCACTGTCCCCAGGGCGGTGGTGGCCCTGTGCCCACCGTGTCACTGTCCCCAGGGCGGTGGTGGCCCTGTGCCCGCCGTGTCACTGTCCCCAGGGCGGTGGTGGCCCTGTGCCCGCCGTGTCACTGTCCCCAGGGCGGTGGCGGCCCCGCGGGGCCAGCGGCCGGATGGACACACGGACACACGGACACACGTGGCTTTTCCATCGCGGAGCTAATTATACCCGGCGGCGGGAAGCGCGTGGGGACAGACGTGGGGACAGACGCGGGGACAGACGCGGGGACAGCGGCGGCCCTGCCCTTCCTCTGCGGCCCTGCCCTTGCCCAAGGTCACCCGGAGCCGCTCCGGCCACGAGGCCGCTGCCCTTTGGGGGGGTTGGTGGCCGTGGAGCGGCCGCGGGGGGGACAGCGGGGGACAGCGGTGACAATGGGGACAGTGCTGGCAGTGGGGACAGCGCTGACCCCGCGCCCCCTTTCCCCGCTGACCCAGTAACTGAGCGCCTCCCACAAACGGATTTCCCAGCGAGGATTCCCTAATGAGGCGGGCTGCCTAATGAGATGCTGATGAGATGCTAATGAGGCGGGCGAGCGGCCGGGAGCCCCCCCCGCCCCTCCGCACCTCCCCCGGCCCCTGCCCACCCCCCCGGCCCCCGGCGCATCCTCCCGTGCCGGCCCCGTTGCCATGGAAACGCGGCTGGATGTGAACCGAGATTAGCGGGGACCGGGAACGGCCGGGAATCGCCCCGGCCCCGCCGCGGACCCCCCGAGCCCCCCCCACTTTGGGGTCGGGGACCCCCCGGCCCCCCCCGCGGTGGGGATGGGCGGGTTTGGGGTCCCCCCCAGCCCCCGCAGCTCCGGGAGGGACCCCGAGAAGCCGCGACCCCCCCCGGGACGCCGCAGCCCCTCCGGAGCCTCCGCGGGTGCGGGGCGAGGCCGAGCCCCCCCCGCCCCCCCTTTGCGACCCCCGGGGCGGGGATGGGGAGGGGACAGCGGCGCCACCTGCTCAAGGTGACCCGGGTGGAGCCGGGACCCCCGGCTGAGCCCCCTCCCCTCCATTCCGGGGTCCGGGGCGGGCGGGGGATCCCGAGATGCTCCGGGGAGGGGATGCGCTGGTCCTACCCCCCCCCGCTCCCTCCCTCCGTCCTCCCCTCCCTCCTCCCTCCTCCATCCCCCATCCCTCCTCCATCCCTCCATCCCCGCTCCCTCCCGCCGCTATTTTTAGATCAATCTCCAGCATCGATTAAGGAGCGCGGCGGATCCGGGGGCAGCTGGGACGGGGCCGACACCGGCACCGGGAGCGGGCACCGGGAGCGGGCACCGGGAGCGGGCACCGGGCGGCAGCGGGAGGGGCTCGGCCCGGCCCGGCCCGGCTCGGATCGGCACGGCCGGGCAAAACCCCCCCGGGATGGTGCCCGAGGACTCGGGGGGACTTGGGGACACGGGCAGAGGGGCAGGACAAAGGCCTGGGCTGGGCCTGGCAGCCGGGGGGCAAACAGGGGGGAAAACAGGGGGGAAATAGGGGGAAATAGGAGGAAATAGGGGGGAAATAGGGGGGAAACAGGGGAGAAATAGGGGGGAAACAAGGGGGATATAGGGGAGAACTAGGGGAGCAAACAGGGGGGGAACAGGGGGCAAAAAGGGGGGCAAATAGGGGGGGCAAATGGGGGAAACAGGAGGGGAAACAGCGGGGGCTTGCTTGGGGTGGGGGTCAGGGGTTCCGGGCCTGCGGGGGGACACGGGGGGGACAACGGGGGGGACACGGGGGGGACACGGGGGGGACAAGGTCCCCCTTGGGAAGGTGGGGCTGGGCGGATTTGAGGATGACCCCGCAGGACACGGGGATGCTGTGGTGACACCCGGAGAGGGGGGACACGGCCGAGCCCCCATCACTGCGAGGGGCACCCCAGAAAGAGGAACAGGGAGGGGACTTGGGCAGTGTCACCTGCTGCCACTGCACCGGGCCGGGGTCACCCCCACCCACCCCAGGGCCCTGAGAGGCACCGGGTGAGAGCCCCGCGAGGGGAAACTGAGGCAGGGCAGGGCAGGGGGTGCCCGGGGCTGGGCAGTGCCCGAGGGGATGGGGACGGGACTGGGGGTGCCCCTTGCTGGGTACTGGGGGGGCTCGGGCCCCCTCCCCGCTCTCCCCCTCCCTCCTGGGGACCCCCAAACTCTTCCCCTCCCTCCTGGGGACCCCCAAACTCTCCCCCTCCCTCCTGGGGACCCCGCGGTGCTGCCCTCGAGCCGGGTGGTGGCCCCGGATGGGCCCATTCGGTGACATCGCCCCCGCTCCGCTGGTACCGGGGGGGTCCTGGCCCCCCATCCCCACGACCCCCGGCTGGGAGGACACGGCAGGGACCCCCCCCTCTTCTCCTCACCCCAATTAAGCTCCCGCGGGCGATGTGGGGCCGAGGGGTCCCCCCGGACCCCCCCTGTCCCCTGCAGCCCCCGGGGAGGTGGCAGGAGGGGCTCGGGGTGCCCGGGGGTCTCCGGCCGTGTCCCCGCGGGGTCACCCCGTGCCCGGCCCGTTCCGGGAGCGGCCCTGACGGGAGCAGGGGCCGGGGGGTCCCGGGGGTCCCGGTGGCGTCGCGCAGAGCGGGCACATGGCCCTGGCACCGTCCCCCCCCCGCCCCACGGCCCCGCGGGGCTCCGGGCACGGCGGCGGCCGCTCCGCGCGGTGGCCCCGGCACCGGGGGCTGCTCCCTCCTGGCGCCGCTGTCCCCGCGTCACCCCCGGCCCGGCGGTGCCGCCCCCGGCCGGGCCGTGCCCCCGCCGTGCCCGCAGCCCCCCGAGCCCCCCCGCTCGCTGCTCCGCGCGGCCCCGCGGCCCCCCCGGTGTCCCCGCGGTGTCCCCGCACCTGTTCGGCCGCCTCCGGGTCCAGGTGCGGCTCCAGCAGCGGGACCGTGAACTGGATCTTGCGGGGGCTGTTGGGCTCCATCGCGGGCGCGGCGGCTCCGGCGGCTCCGGCGGCTCCGAGCGGCCACGCCCCGGCCACGCCCCGGCCACGCCCCGCCGATGCCACGCCTCGCCCCGGGCCCCGCGCGCGGGACGCGGGGACGGACAACGGGACACGGGGACAGGGCTTGGGACACCGGGACGGACACGGGGACAGACACAGGGACAGACACAGGGACAGACACAGGGACGCGGGGAGGGACACAGGGACACAGGGACGGACACAGGGACAGACACAGGGACACGAGGAGGGATGCACGGACAGAGTCAGGAGAGTGGGACAGACACAGGGACACGGGGACAGACACAGGGACAGACACAGAGGCATAAGGACGGACACAGGGACATAGGGACGCACACACGGATGGACCCTGGGACATGGGGACAGACAAACGGACACGAGGATGGACTCCAGGCTGCAGGGACAGACGAGTGGACAGAGCCAAGATGAGGGGACAGACACAGGGACAAAGGACTGGAAACAGGAAGAGAGCTGGGACACGAGGACGAACACAGGGACACAGGAGCGGACACACAGGGTGACCCTGGGACACAGAGAAAGACAAACAGACACAAGGACAGACTCGGGGACACTGGGACAGACACGGGGGCATGAGGACAGACAGACAGGCCCTGGGACAGACACACAGACCGTGAGAGGGACATGGGACAGGGACAGGGACAAGGATGGGGACAGGGACAGGGACAGGGACAGGGACAGGGACAGGGACAGGGACAGGGACAAGGATGGGGACAGGGACAGGGACGGGATCCCCCCCCAGCACCAGGACAAGGGGACAAGGCCAGCGCTTGGGGACTGTCCCAGCAGAGCCTGGACACCCCAAAACCCCCAAAAAGGCCATTGGGGGGGGGGCACAGAGTGGGCTGGGGGTGTCCCCAATCCTCTGTCCTGGGGGTGCTGTGCCCCCACTGCCCCATGTCCCCCCCCCCTCAAGCGACACCCCCAGGGCTTTAGGGGGTTCGGGGCATGGAACCAGGGGCGTTGTGGGGTCAGGGGGGGTTGCAAGCTCGGGACCGGGGGGTTCGGGGCCGGGAGGGGTTCGGGTGTGGGACTGGGGGGATGTGGGGTCGGGGGGTTCCGGGCCGGGGCTTTGGGGGGCCGGGGGGGGTTGCGAGTTCGGGGCCGGGGGTTCCGGGCCGGGGGTGCTGGGGCCGGGGGCTTTGTGGGGCCGGGGGGCTCCGGGCCGGGGGTGCTGGGGCCGGGTGCCCCCCCGGCGCAGCCACGAGCGCGTGTCCCATCACTTATTCATGGAGCCGGAGCCCGGGCGGCTGCCGGGATCTGCCGGCAGGAATGCGCTAAGTAGGTCAGGCGGGGGGGGGGCCCGGGGGGGCCGCCCGAGTCCCGCCGCGCCCCCCCCGCCAGCACCGGGGGTCCCGGGGGGGGCACCGGGGCAGCGCTGGCATCCCCTGCGTGCCGGGGGCCGGATAAAGGCGCTGCGGTTTTGGGGAGGGGGGAGTCCCCAGTTCTGGGGGGGGGGGAGGCAGCTGGACCCCCCCTCCCCTAAAGGCCAGCGTGACGCCCCCAGCCCCATCCTGGGGCTCGTCGGGAATTTTGGGTGGGGACACTCTTGGGTACATCCTTGGGGGCGTCCTTTGGGAACATCCTTGGGGCATCTTTGGGGACAGACTTGGGGACACCCTTGGGACCCCCTTGGGGACATTCTTGGGGCCAGTCTTGTCAGGGGGGGACAGGACGGGGCCGTTCTCCCAGCCTGGAGCGGGGAGAGGGCGAGGCCGGAGGGATCTGTCCAGGGTGGTGTCTGTCCCTCCTTGGGGATCTGTCCATCCTTCCTGGGGGTGTGTCTGTCCCTCCTTGGGGATCTGTCCATCCCTCCTGGGGACATGTCTGTCCTTCCCAGGGGAGCTGTCCATCCTTCCCAGGAGATCTGTCCATCCTTCCCGGGGGATCTGTCCATCCTTCCCGGGCTCTTCCCATCCGTCCCAGAAATATTCCCATCCTCCCCGGGGATATTCTCGTCCTTCCCAGGAATATTTCCATCCTTCCCAGAGGTATTGCCACCCTTCCAGGGCTATTCCCGTCCTTCCCAGGAATATTCCCGTCCTTCCAGGCCTCTTTCCATCCTCCCCAGGAATGTTCCCGTCCCCCCGGGGTTATTCCCGTGGGATGTTCCCGATCCCCCTCCCCGCCTCCCGGGCCGGGCTGAAGGATCGCTTAATTCGGGGCTTTATCCACTTTAAACACTCCCGGGCTAAAAATATCCCGAGGCGCGGGCGCGGCGCTGCCGGCCCGGAGCTGCTGGAGCTGCTTTGCCTTTTTTGACGGGATCGCGGCTGGGGCAGCGCCCGCGCCTCGGGGTCACTGTCACTGTCACTGTCACCGGTGGCACCCGAGCCTCGGGGACACCACCCTGGGGACTGACAGAGGTGCTGGGGTGTGCGGGTCCTGGGGATTCCGGGTCCTGGGGATTCCAGATCCTGGGGATTCCAGATCCTGGGAATTCCAGATCCTGGGGATTCCAGATTCTGGAGATTCCAGATCCTGGGGATTCCAGCTCCTGGAGATTCTAGATTCTGGGGGATCCAACTCCTGAGGTCCCCAACTCCTAGGAAATCCAGCCCCTGGAGGATCCAGCTCCAGGGAATTCCAGCTCCTGGGAATTCCAGCTCCTGGAGATCCCAGCTTGTTGAGATCCCAGCTCCTGGCGATTCCAGCTCCTTGGGGACCCGTTGGAATGGATGAGGGGCCAGGGCTGGCACCTCAGTGGCCGTGAGGTGAGTGCTGTCCCCACACTGGGGATGTCCCTGTCACCCTGTGCTGTCCCCACACTGGGGATGTCCCTGTCACCCAGTGCTGTCCCCCTGGCACTGGAGGTGCCATCCCAGCTTGGAAAACAACTGCCAGGGAAAGCCCCTCCTTGTCACCCCCCAAAACCAGGGTGGCTTTGCCATCACCCCCTTCCCTCAGGAAGGTCAGGGACCCTTCGGGAATGTCGGGGACCCTAAAGGAAGGTTGGGGACCCTTTGGGAAAGTTTGGGACCCTTTGGGAAAGTTTGGGACACTTTGGGAAGGTTTGGGACACCTTGGGACAATCAGGGACCCCTTGGGAAGGTTGGGGACCCTATGGGGAAGGTTGGGGACCCTATGGGGAAGGTTGGGGACTCTTTGGGAAAGTTTGGGACCCTCAGGAAGGTTTGAGACACCTTGGGAGGGTTGGGGACACCTCGGGAAGGTTGGGAACCCTTTGGGAAGGTCAGAGACCCTTTGGGAAGGTTGGGGACACTTTGGGAAAGTTTGTGACCCTTTGGGAAGGTCGGGGACACTTTGGGACAATCAGGGACCCCTCGGGAGGTGCCAGGGGGTGCCCGGGCTGCCCTCAGGAGCTTTTCCCGCGGCGGTGGCGGATGTGGGGCGCCGTTTGAGCTTTGGGCTGTTGATTTTTTTGTTAATTTCCTCTTCCAAGCCGATGAGTTTCCTCCCGCTCCGCTGACGACGGATGGGGGCCGGGCGGGGCGCGGGGGGGGCAGGAGGCGGCTGGGCCACCCACGGGCCCTGGAGGGGCACAGGGAGCTGCCCACCCACCCCTGGAGCCGGTCAGTGCCAAGGGGTCTGGGACTGGGGATTTGGGATTTGGGGATTGGGGATTTGGGATATGGGGGAGAGCTGCCCACCCACCCCGGAGCCGGTCAGTGCTGAGGGGCCTGGGATTGGGGGATTTGGGATTTGGGGATTGGGGATTTGGGATATGGGGGAGAGCTGCCCACCCACCCCCGGAGCCGGTCAGTGCCGAGGGGTCTGGGACTGGGGATTGGGGATTTGGGATTTGGGGATTTGGGGATTCTGGGATTGCGGATTTGGGGATTGGGGATTTGGGATTTGGGGATTTGGGATGGGGGGAATCTGACCACCACCCCTGGAGCCGGGCAGTGCTGAGGGGTCTGGGATTTGGGATTTGGGGAGCTGCCCACCCACTGCCCCGAGCCCATCCCGGCATGCCCTGAGCCCATCCCGGGATGCCCTGAGCCCACCCTGAACTGCCCGAGCCCACCCTGAACTGCCCTGAGCCCACCCTGGGATGGCCCAAGCCCACCCTGAACTGCCCCGAGCCCACCCTGAACTGCCCCGAGCCCACCCTGCCCCTGCCCGTGCAATCCCTGGTGGCTCCCCCCACCCCCCACGGTCCCTCACGTCCCTCCTGTCCCCCAGGGACCCCCCCGGCCCCCCCGGCCATGGAGGGACCCCCGGTGCTCGGCCCCTCCTCGTGGCAGAGGCGCCGCGCGTGGGCCCGGCAGAGCCGGGGCTGGCGCAGCCCCGAGGGCGAGCGGGACCAGGAGGAGGAAGAGGAGGACGAGGAGGACGAGGAGGAGGAGGAGGAGGAGGAAGAGGAGCGGGAGGCGGCCGCTGTCCCCTGGGAGCCACCAGAGCCGGACCACGCGGGGCTGTCCCCAAGCTCTGCGTCCGCCGGGGGCTGTGACAAGAGCGGGACGTGTCCCCAAACCAGCGCCAGTCACCCCCTGCTGTCCCCTCCCTCCCTTTTTCCATCTCTGCTGCTCCCGGGGAGCCCCCAGGCTGCGGGCAGGTGAGATTTGGGGTCCGGGGGGGCTGGCAGGGCAGGGGACACTGTCCCCATGTGTCCCTCTGGCACTGTCCCCTCTGCATGTAGGAGTCAGTGGGACCGGCGGGTCAGGCCTGGGGACAGCAGGGCCTCCGGTGTCCCCTGCAGTGTCCCCTCCCTGTGCAGGGCTCCACACCTGAGCCCTGGGGACAGCACGGCCTCCAGTGTCCCCTGCAGTGTCCCCTCCGGTGTCCCCTCCGGTGTCCCCTCCCCGCACAGGGCTCTGCAGGACCGGTGGCTCAAGCCTGGGGACAGCAGGGCCTCCGATGTCCCCTCCGGTGTCCCCTCCGGTGTCCCCTCCGGTGTCCCCAGCAGCTCCAGGTAGGGCTGGGGCTCTCGGGATCGGTGCCACCCGGTGTCCCCTCGCGGAGGATCGGTGCCACCCGGTGTCCCCCGGCGGGG